AGTCCACTCTATATATATATATATATATATATATAGTATACTTCTTTTAAACATGTCATTTCTCTTTCCAATGCATTTCACTCTCTAACTCCTCCCTCCCTAACGATGCCCTTTTCCCCCCAAATTCTCTATATGAAACACGACTCTTTCTCTGTCTCTAAGGCTTTTCTTTATCTAATAATGCCCTTTCTTGTTCTCACTCTTTTATCTAAGAATGCCCTTTTTCTCTCTAATTATTTACATTTCTATTTGGGCCCGGTTTTTATACTGCCAAGCCCGTATATGTAGAAATGCAGGCTTCTAAATAAATCTATTTTTGAGATAGATTTTAAGACTTAAAATTTAAGTACATGTAATCTCTCACATGGAGATCATGAATATGAGAAAATATATAAATTTTAAAAACTAAAAATAATAATTCTAATAAGAAAACATTTGGCCCTTTAGCTTTCATTGTCATCCATCTTTAAGATGGAACACCTACGTGCATCCATCTTTAAGATGGATGCTTTACACTTTCTGGACCGCATATGCATGAAACAATTTTCCTTTTTCTTTATATATATTATTTTCTCTCTTTAACTCCTCCCTTTCCTTTTTCTGTTTCTAAACCCTTTCTCTCGAACAATTCCCTTGTGTCCATCTAATTCCTTTTCTCTCTAAATGTGCTGATTATTTCTCTAACCAAGTCCTTTCTATCTTATGTCCTCTCCCTCTAATTGTACCTTCTCTCCATGTACATGTATATGTGTATGTTTGAAGCAAAGCTTAATCTCTATGAAGCTTTGTTAGATCTTTATAAAGCTTAATCTCTACATTTAAGAACTTCTACCTAGATTATTAAACAAGTATTTCAGAACTTTCGTATATTTGTAATTCCAACTTTGAAAGACGTTGAATATTCAGGTTCCAAGGAATCCCTAGCTTCCGATTGCCAAACATGCCCTACATATGCACTTTGGAAGTGATTGAAAAAAATCGAGCTTGATCTCTTAAAACCGAATTCTTTTAAAGTATAAAATGCTTTTGTTTTTATTTAGGGATTTGTATACTATGATATCATTTACCATTGTCCAATGATAACTTCCAGCTACTTGATATCAAATTCGATGTCTTGGGTTATATCACGAAGTTTGAGAAATTCTTTCTAGATTTTGAATTTAGTTAATGACACACTAATAACCACTTGATTTAAAATAAGATGGATAAATGTAATTGTAACTTTTTTGTATTAAAAATAAATAGTCTATTTATATATTTTTCATTTTATTTATCTAATAGTTGTAATTCTTGTAGCATAAAATTTAATAACGTTGTGGTTTGTATATGGCTTAGGCCATAAAAAAACAATGTAAGGCACACGTTCGAATTGTGTCGACAAATGTTTTGTATTGGAAATCTTTGTGATAGCTTGAAAATTTATTTTCACCTCTAATTATAATATTCAAAGCTCCAAAAATAGTACAGATAATATATTTATAATTCAAAATCTTTAAAAATTGGTGAGCCAGAAAATACATTACAATATTCACTGTTTCCATGATTTGAAATCCATTCTTTCTCATGTCCGTACATCTTGAAGTCGAGATGATCGATTTGAAGATTTTTAGGCAAAAAAAAAACCTCTTCCAGTGAATTTTTGAGGTGAGCCTTAATTTGATTGTTTAGGGCCTCACCCTTGTATGAACTTTTCCCATTTAATAAAACCCACATAAATGAAATGAAAATTTAACTCATGAATACATTCTAAAAATTTATATCTCTATTGCTTTTTTTTCCCTGTGCCCAAGTGCTTGTGTCAAAGGGTCAGTCCCCTTTGAAATTATCACTAATTTCGGATTTGAACCCAAAGACCGTAGTAAACAAGTTAAACAAGAAGTTAGGCCTCACCCATTAAGAACTAAGCCAAATAACCCAACATGACTTAGCAAACAACTTTTTAGTAAATCTCAGAGAGGGCCATTACAGTATGATCTCTATAGATCATACTGTATATTGCTTCTTATAGAAGCCCTATTCCAACATGAGCAGCTACAAACGGTGCGGCCGGTTCTGTGGGGAGTCGATGGCGGAATGCTCCTCCATTTCTCTCACTTCTCTGAGCCCATCATCTTGCATTTCGATCCACTTTCGAATGAGAGTATCGTTCGGTGGAGAGAGAGAGCAAGGCATTGGATTATGATCTTCCATATAAGAATGAAGTGATCTTTTGAGGAAGGATTTCTCTCTAGGGCTGGCAAGGCACTGTATGGAATCCTCACACACAAAGTAGGAGGTGGGTGTGGGAGTTGGGGTGAATCTCTGCAACTTGGAGTACTCGGAGAGAAGGTGGAACATGTAATCGTATACTGTGCTCATGCTCATCATCTCCATCATCTCTCGGCTCTTCCTCCCTATGCTCTCCGACTGCATCACCACCACGGGAAAATCAGGGGAGAATACATTTTCTGGTTTGTATACCAAGGGCTTCTCTTACTACAAAGGTGTAAAGGGAATGTATACCACCGTTATCGTGAGTATGCATTGTTGATAGTCATGAGGCTCATCACCATCGAGTCGACGGTTACATGGTGATGAAAAGAGAGTGTAGCATTAGCACCATGCTCACTGTGTTTGCACATAGTTATAACACTTTGAGTAGGGGTGGCAACGGGCCGGGTGACTCAGCTCGTCCCAGTTGGATCGTCCTAGAAAACTAGGGCTCAGGCCACAAAATGTGGCTTGGCAGGGCTAGATCAGGCTTGGTCCGGTCCAGCCCAACAATTAATTCTTTATCCTTTTTATTTTGGTTTTCTTGGCTCGGCCCTGATAGAACCACAACCTTTTTAGCACGGGCCACACCTGGACACCCTTAGGGGAACATGGCCAGGCTACAACCAGTGTTGACATATGGCCAGCCCTACTTGAAGGGTGCATAGTCAGTCATGACACTCTAGAGGTACGGTTGAGAATTTACCCGATTTGGATAAAAAAAACCAGAATTTCGGATCCTATCCGGATCCAAGTATGGATCTAATATTTGGATCCGACAGGTCGGATCCAGATCCAAAATTTGGAACCAAATATTAGTTTGGATCGGATCTAGGTAGAGGTGGATCTGATCTGAATCTAGTCTAGTTATTAAAATTTTATATGTTATTATATATACATATATGCCATATTTTTTTTTTTTGGGTATATAATATTTTGTGCATATATATATAATACTTTTTTGAATACGACCAGGGTCTGAATTTGGATTCGGACCTGAATCTCACGTATACTTTTTAGATACAGATCCTGATTTGGATCCGAATATTCTGGATCCGATCAGGTCCATATGATAATCCAAATCCCATACATACTTTTTAGATTCGAATCAGGTGGATCCAGACCTGATTCTACCCATTTTCAGCCCTATCTAGAGGGTCATGACCCGTCTATTGTGCTCCTAGATTTTTATGCGGAGGAGCATAGGATTGACAATAATGAAACCTAGCATAGATCCCCAAAAGAAGAAGAAATAATAAGAGAGAAACAATGAGGAGACCGTACCTGATTGGGATTGGCATTGCCCCAATTCACGCCGAAGTCAAGAGAGGGGCATATAGTGGAGGGGTTGATTGGCCAAATGTGGCGTTTGGGCAGCAGCCATCGAGTGAAGAAATCAAAATACTGTGAAGTTATGGTCATTACTGTAGACCCACATGATAGAATGTATTTGTAGCTCACAGACCAGGCCCACCCTTCCGCATAAACCTTATACCTGCAGACAGAGAGAGAGTGAGTGAGAACCCCATCATCATCATAATCCACAGGTATAAATACAGAATCCCATCATCATCAAGAGATGACCCGTAACCCATAGTTGTCAAGATCCAAACCTGTTTTCCAAATTCACATTTTTTACTTACCAAAAAATATTAACACGACCATTTTTCTCTCTATCTTTGTTTTTTTGTTTTTTTAGTATAGAGAAATATTTGATTCAATACGGCATATGTAAAAAAATTAACACAAAACTATTTTTTTCTCTATCTTTGTTTTTTAGTCCAGAGAAATATTTCATCGAATGTAGCATGTCTTCCAAACCTTGGGACGCACATCCTTTTGGTCCTAGTTAAGAAGATATTTGAAAACATTCGAAAGAAAATTTCAAAATGGTTTTTTCTTTTGTGAGAGAGTATCACAAATACAAGCTGTCCATGTTAGGAAAGAAAAAGTCGTCATGGACTAAGGCCCTAAACGATTTGTTTATCCGAATTTTATAGATCAACTCATCATCACCATACAACGAATTCAAAGATAAAATGGAGAAATAATTTGATTTTGAGTTCTTAAATGGATGCCCGAGCTTATTGAGCACCAGGTCTTGAGAACTCGACTCAGCCAAGGCACTCTAGCACGTGACTCGGCAACTCGAGTCGAACTCGTTCGACTCCTATACAAGGAAAAAAAAGCTCTAGAAATTTTTTCAAAATATGAAAATATAATAAAGGTCGTGAAAGTCAAACAAATTTAACGACTTTAAAAAGTCCAAACAAACTTAGAAAAATATATTTAGAAAATGGAGATTATATATGGGGAGGTCTATATATATATATATAAAGAAAAAAAAATCAAATAAAGATATGGAATAAACACTCACCAATCATTTCCAAAAACATCCAAATCATATACAAAAATTTATACACAATGTTGAGTACAAAAAGCATTGTTTAGACTCTTTTACTAAATTTTCCATAAGCTCTTTTATCAGGGCCAAGGAAATGTGTGTACCAAATTTGTGAGTAATGTCCCTAAATGCCCTATAATTGAGGAAGGCGATTTAAGTAAAGGTGCGGTTCGTATAGAGCCTATGCTCTAAATAATCAAATTAGAGCCTACTTTCAAATAGTATCGAGAAATGTGGTTTCAATACTGCAAATCATTGTGATAGACTTAAAATATATTTTCATCTTTCTTTATAAAGTTAAAGCTTCAAAAAGAGCGTAGATCGATAGATCTATAAAAACTTGAAAATCTTGAAAATTGACGGTCCAAAAATGCGTTACAAAATACACTATTTTCAAAACTTGAAATTCATTTTTTTCTCATGTCCATGCATCTTGATGTCGAGATGATAAATTTGAGGATATTTGCGCATCAAAACAAGCTCTTCTACTGAAATTTTTGAGGTAGGCTATAATTTGATGGTTTAGAGCCTCAGTTCTATATCAACTTTCCCCTTTAAGTAATAGCCAATCAAATGTTACTCTTCTCATGTTTCGGTTTGGTATGCAGTTTTGTAAAATCAGAGATCTCACCTGTGTTTGCATTGGTCAGAGAGCTTGGAACTTGCATACTTCTTTTGGGCTTCTTCCTCCCAATTCTGCACAATGGTAGAAAGTTTAATCTCTTAAAGAGAGCCAATTTCCCTTAGTGAGAGAGATGTGGTAAACACTAACATAAAGAAAAGGAAATAAAGAGAGGCCATTTAGCCCTAAGGAGGCCAATCTCTAGTGAGGTTTTTAGGTGCACCTTAATACTTGTACAGTATAAAGTTGGCACTCTATATAAACTTCTTCCTTATATCACAGATAAAATGGTTTTATAATATAGAATCCCAATAAAATATGATACTCACTTGCTCCTGTATTTGGGCTGTTTTAGAATTGCTGCATTTAAGTAGTTCAACACGAGCTGGTGAGCCCACTCTGGTGTTCCCCCTCCAATAAGCCATGGGCACACGATCTTTCCACTTGACTTGTTCTGATCCCCTTTTGATGCTTCTGAACTCTTCATCCCATGGAGCTATATTTGTCTCAGCCCTACACAGGATAAAATATGTTGGTAAATAGGTAAATGGAGTGGCTATGTGTATGTTCTTTTTTCTACAAAATTAATGAATTTTTTTGCTAAATTTGGGTCAGTATCACGCCTCGACCACCTAACTTAATATCCGTTAATTAGGGGTGATTGTGACCTATTAAATACAAGGGATTATATACAATAAGGGAATTTACCCTTGGTACAAGTAGGTCACAATTACTTATAACCATCCGATGTAAAATCTGATAGCTTGGGTGTTTCATAATGTTTGAAAAAATTTCTTTTGAACTTTAAGCTTGGTCAATGCAATAAATTCAGCTATTCAATTTCACATCCAATGGCTCAGATTAATTGTGACCAACTTCTATCAAAGATATAGTCTCGTTCTATACTTTCCCTAAATATAAATCTTTATTATTTCTAGGGTCTCTTTCGATTGGAGATGTCATTTGGACTGTTAAACACCATCTAAGGAAGAGTAATTGTCGTTTAATTGTAAGAATTCTTAGGCCAATCTTAAGATAGCTTTGGGCAAGTGCAGTGCATTTTGAATGTAATTATGGGTCTATTATAAATAAACAAATCTTATTTGTATGATTTATGGTAGCATACTTATATTCCTTGTAACTCTAGACCCTAGATAGCAAGGGTTGAGAATTTTTCAGATCGAGTCCAGATCTGGATTCTGATTCAAAAAGTATACAAGAGATCATCATCTAGATCAGATCAGATCCAGAATTTTGAATCCAAATTCGGATCCAAAAACTATACATGAGATTCAGATTAGGTCTTCTATATATATATAGGTTTGTCTAAAGTTAACAATCCTTCAAAATACAAAGGTTCAAATTAGAAGGGGTTGTGATGAGTGTATTTATCAAAATAATCATAATTATTTTTATTAAAAAATTATTTAAATTAGTAAATTTACCATTAAGCAAGGTAAATTTGAAATTTTCACAAAAATACAATGACATTTTAGAAGTTAGTGTCCTGAAACTTTATCTGTAGAGTGCCAATGTTTTTAATTAAAATTTCAACTTTACCCCTTATGGAGATCACAAAAGTACATTTTGTCTTGTAGTAATATTTACAAAATTGCCCCACAAAAGTAATTTTTTTTAAAAAATAGACTACAAAATTAATAAATCCACCCTTCTCAATTCTCTCTATCTTGAACCTTTGTAATTTGAAGGGTTGTGAAGTTTAGATTATCTCATATATACCCAACCCTTCAAATTGCAAAGGTTTAAGATAGAGAGAGCTGTGAATGGTGGATTTATTAATTTGTTGTCTATTTTTTTAAAAAAGTTATTTTTGTGGGGCAAATTTGTAAATATTACTACAACACAAAGGGTAGTTATCTCCATAGGGTTAAAATTGAAATTTTAACTAAAAGACAAGGGTACTCGACAAATAAAGTTTCAGGATACTAACTTTCAAAATGCCATTGTATTTTTGTGAAAATTTTCAAATTTGCCTTTACTTAATGGTAAAGTTACCTATTTAAATAATTTTTAATAAAACAGTAATGATT